CGGGGGGTTGGGGTAGCAAGGGCGGGTCCTTGTCCTCTGCTGGCTGCAGGCCGCCGTATTCCCGTGCCGCCTTGTGAGGGCACTGGCAGACCCGCTGCAGGCTCCTCCTGCAGCCTGCCTGTGTCAGCACCCAGCACCCCGCGCCATGGGTGCCCCCTGTGCCGGCAGCACGCATGAGTTGCATTGCATGTAAAAGCACAGTATATATTAAGAATGATCCTTATGGGTCCCTTCCAACTTCAGATGTCCTATGATTCTGTGGTTCTAAGAATTTCTTTTGGCAGAAAGGAGTGTTATACGTCATTGTGTAAGTTATTTGTATGCAGCTAGTTGTATCAACTTTTCAATGTTGCGTCCCTCTTAATCAGTACTTCCTATTTGCATGGTTTGTTGGCAGCCTGCTAAAAACAGTTGCATTTGCACAGAGCGATTCAGCGATGAATTGCAATTTCATACAGCTTGTTTAGCAGCTAGTCTTACTGCTGTCCACCGTAGGGAAGGGAACATTGCCTGGCAGGACGCGGTCTTTTCAGAACGTATTTCTGTTATAATCTGATGGAGTCCTCAGACAAGGTGCATGCACTTTCTTTTCCTGAACTGTTACAGAAAAAAAAGCATATTTTTCCCTTTAGCACAGTGTTGATCATACCATGTTGATTTGATATTGACAATGGTTTACTCCATAGAGAGATGTTTGTACTTGCTTCCAGTAAAATTTTGAGATCAGTTTGCACAACTTCATCTTTTTTCACTGTTTCTGTGTTTCCAAACTGTGTTTACAGTTTTGGTAAAAGCCTTTGGACGGTGTGATTCCCGAGGTGTTCAGATCTTTGCTTTATCTTTCCAACCCCTCTAGTTCTTACTCATTTCAAAAAATCCTGTTTCTGAGAGCCTGATTCTCCTTGCAGTCTCACAAGAGCACTAAAACAGATGTCTGTTAGTCTAATCTGATCATAAAATCCTGTGTTCTCTAATTGAGTGGCAGCTGTATCCTGAAGACTTTTTCTTAATTAGAAGTTGAAGGCCTTTTCTGTTAATGATAGTTTGGCCACAGAGAATGGTGTACTGCTATTTTTAACCATTCAAGTAACTTTTAACTGTTTTCCTAATCAGTTTTTTACTATGGTTTAATTTTTATTATGTGTTGAAATATATTGCTGATTTTTCTAACCAGACTCGTTTCCGAATAAAAGGTGGTCATAACACAGGTACTGTTGTTGGAATTGGTGTCAAACACTGAGTTTGGCTGTATTTGCACATTTCTGTTCCTAAGCAGAACTCCTGTAGCTTCTGATGATCTCACAGATGTCAGATCGAACTTGTCAGTGCAATCTAGTAGCCAGAAATTCTGCTGACAATGAGTGGCATGAACTCTAATCTCATTTGAAGTACATTTCCACCATAGATAAGGAATCTCAGACTGTCATTAGAGCTGATAAAAGGCTGTGAGATCTTTACCATTGGTCACGGCAAACATTAAATGATTTAACAAACACGAGGTTATACAGCAGGAGAATACAAAACGTCCCCAAGGTCAGTGCAGCTGAAATAGGCTGGAATCGCAAATTAAACCTTACGAGATGTCAGGCTCCTTGGCTGGGAAAAAACGTTTTCTTGCTGTGCTTCTGCCACCAGGCTTTTAGAAGGCTGCTTGTGGTGCTGCTAAAAAGCCAAAACCTTGTCTCCCACTCCAAAATTTAGTCCATGAAGAAGGCAGTTGTTCAGGCTATGGAAGGTTTGAAGACTGTGACTTTGTATGCAGGCTCTGACAGAGACATTTAGGAGGCCTTTGGTGTCCTCCTGATTATTTAGACCTTTCTTACCTCCAGAGCTCTGGCTGTAAAGATGTTGGAGTTTTGGCTCCATCACTCCCATGCTCCATTCTGAAGGCATACACAGCAATGCTAGTGCAACCCTCTGTGGTTTGTGAGTTTTTAAGTCTTGGTACTGCCACTAGTGCCAATAGTAATTCTGACAAAAGGTTGGTATAATGTGCTCTGACAGAACCAGATAAGCATTAAATGCTAACTTAAGGATTCTAGTGTTCAGGCTTGAAACTAAGTACTAAAGAGATGAAATGCTGAAGCTATCACATTCTGAATATATCTTATATATCTTTTTATCTTTTAACTCTAGGCTAAAAAGGGTTAGTATCACCAAGCTGTAGGATTAATTCATGTAGCAGATAGATAGAAATTCATGCTATTTTGCATACTGAGCTAGTGTAAAATGCTGTGTCACTTACCAGGTAATTTGGCTGTTGGGCCAAGTCTCTTTGGCTGCAGGTCGCACTGTTCACGTCTGGCTCTGCCCTAGCAGTGTCTGGCTCCCACCTTCCTGTCCCGTGGTCCGATGGCTGATTAGCACTGTGCTGTCCTTCTCTGGGGATCACTGATGTGAGATTTCATTTATCACACTAGCTGCCTCAGTGAGATCAATGTAAGAAAATGGATTCAGAATCATATTTAATTTGCAGGATAAATTGTAACAATTTACACCTTGTAAATGAGGAGCACACTAGGTAGATGTTTTTGTTGAGACCAAGCCATTCTTCTTTGATTTCTGCTATCATGGCAGCTGAAGAGGGTGGCATTTATGTTTCTTTCAGTTTTGAAAAAGTAGATCTTAACCCTCTCTACTTGAGATGAAGAAGTGTGGTATAATGCTGGTTTTAGACCTCAAGTCCAACTCTTGCCTTGATACAACACAGTTTCTTTTGGGCTTTAGAGAGTGATGTTTAAAATGCATATCCAGGCAGGGATGTAGAACAGAGTCTGCCTGTCCACATCACATTGTGACTACACCGTGGAAGCAATTCGTAGTTCCTAGAAAAGGCAAGACAAAAATAGTGTCTTAAAGATATGAAGAATGAGATAAGGGGAAGCTGCTGCAGCCAGCACTTTTAAGTCGGAAAAGTTCTTTACGTGTGTAGCCTAGCTTATTGCCATATAGGGACTTATTTCTTGCAAAAGCAGAAAATGGATTTGACTGCCTTTCCTACTCTAAATCATCTAGAAAATATTCACAGTTTTCAGTATTCTGCGTGCACTCATTTTTGGTATTTGAAGGTAAGGCAATTAACTTGGGACATGCCCAAGATACCGAATCCAGCTGCCTGTAATTCCTTTAAAGGTAATTTCCCCACATTTAAACTTTGCATTAACCTTTTCATATTGAATACAGTGTTGGTAGTTGAAATTTACCCTTGTCCATAGTTTGATTACTGGTCTGGCTAGATAATTGAACGTGGGCTTTTTAGTAAGGTAGAAATAATATTTTGCATTTTGTTCTTGATTAATAACCAGTATTTCATTAATCTAGAAGTGTGGTAAGGAAAATCAGTGTAGAAATCAAATTAACTAAAAATGTTTATTCATCTGTGTATCATGGAATGTGGAGAAAATCCATTCAGATGAAATTTTCTGTTTTACTAGCTAAGAAGGTTTTGGCTACTTTAAGAGCTGAAGTATTCTAGTATGTCAAAGTGAACTGGGATCTGTGGTTTGTGAATTAAGCGTTGGGCTCAGTTTCTGTGATCATTTCAGGCAGTGCCGCTTAGTTTGTTTCTGATGGTGGCAGCACTGCTGGCTGTTGCACTGGAACACTGTCCTCCCTGCATGGTTCAAGCTGGAAAGCCAAGACTTCCCACATCCCGCTCTGAACTTTGACATTTCTGCATTCTGCCAATAGCCTAAGCATTCCTTGGAAATCCTGGAAGTTAATCCTGGAATCCTGATGTTCATACCAATGAAAGCACCAGCTCTGCAGAGAGCAGGAGGAGCTATCCAACCTTACAGGGGTGTTGTATGAGGAAAACCCCATCTTTGCCTCACAGCAGAATGCAAGGAAGAAGAGGAAGGTGTATGGGACCTGAGTTGCAACGGAAACCATACAAGGAGATTAACTTTTCCTGCTTGATGTTCCCTACTGGTGGTGTTTCTGCCTGAGCTCCCTCCTGCTGCAGACAGTCGCTGTGCAGACCCAGCAGATGAATTTGCACTGTAGCTGCAGAAGATGTACCTCGTTCTGTGACTGGGTGCCAGCCAGGACTGACACAGCTGATTAGTAAATGACAATAGGTAACAAAATTATTGAGAGGCTAGAAGACTCATTAAAGAGAGGGCCTCTGTCCACTTACTCATTCCCATTAACTTGAAAGTCACGTTGTGCATCTGCACTAATTAGAAGAAAATAATGTCTGTAGAGTAGCCCTCAAGGTTTTTGATCCTGGATCGCTGTGAAAGAGTTTCTTCTCTGCAGAAGTCCTTTTCTGCTTCTGTATTTCTCTCTCCCACACATGGTCACACAGAAGTTAGTTCCACAAGAAAAAACTGCGAGGTGACAGGCAAGAAATCAGAAAGTTTGTGGTTTTGATTTCTGCTGTCTTCTCCCCATTCTGGTTTCTCCTGAGGTTATCAAAGGTTCTGTCAGGGTTTTCTCAGTTTTTCTGGACAAATCTAATTTGTATAGTTGATTCTGCTTCAGTAAAGCCCTCTATATTTTCCTTTTTAGATGCATTACTGTCAAGTATTAGCAAAGAGGTGCTGGAGTCTGTAACTTCTCAGTCAGTAAAAATATCTTCAGCAACACTTTAATTCTGGGCTAGAATTTCTGTTATTAATGTTTCAGAAATTGTACCGAGTTAGTCATTAAGAATAAAATTTAAATTTATCCCTGGGGAATGATTTTCTGTGCTAAGTTAAATACCAGCCTTTGTTCTGCAGTTCTGTTTGTCTGCACTACAACCACTTGATTTCAATCACTTTTGAAATGGTGACTTTACTAATATTTTTTAATGTTTACAATTCACATCTAGTTCTCAGAAGAGATTGGGAAACTTGAAGACAAAGTCGAATGTGCCAATAATGCTCTGAAAGCGGATTGGGACAGGTGGAAGCAAAACATGCAGTGTGATATGAGATCAACGTTCACTAATGTGGCTGAGAATAATCTCCGCTATTATGAAGAGGTAAAACACTTTCTCATAGCAATGTTATTTTTTCATTGATTATTTCAGTGGAGAAGCCCATGGCTTGTGTCTGTAAAGAGGAATTTTTGCATTTTAGTTCAAACCTGTGGTAACTTCAGAATCGTTTTTTGCGGGAAGAGGGAGGCAGTTATCCTTAATTTGACACGTTTCAAACAAAAACGTATTTTATTTGTGCCAAAGTGGTTGATCCTGAGTTCATCATCGACAGAGGGCACTCTTGTTTTACTAACCACAACAATTTGGAACATGTTTTTTGGTTCAATGTCAGCTGCTATATTTCAGTTTGGAAACCTTTTGCTGTAACTGCATGAAGAAGCCCTCTGGAAAGCTCAAACTTGTGGAAATGATCTTGTACGAGGAAAAAGTTTCAATGTGATTCCATTTCAGACAGCACAGGAAGTCCTCGTTATTTCTCTACGGAATTCTCTTTTGTGAAATAATCAGATTTTACTAGGATAAAGAAGAACAATACCATTTTGAGAAGTCAATATGAAAAGCTTAGTGCACTTTTTAAAAAAATACAAATGCTGCAACTGTATACAATTAATTATCTCTTGATAGTTGAAACTTACTACTTTAGAAAGAAGGAAAAGTGGTTGAAATCAGATTTTTATTTTCAACTCAAATGCCACAGCTAATATTCTTGGTAAGAATTCCCTTTTACAAGAATATATATTAAGAAAGAGAATTTGAAAACATGTAACAAAATATGTTAAGCATTCTGTGAAGTTTCTTCATGGGGAACACACTGTTGATTGAAGTGCGCATTTTGAAAATATCCCAGATGTCTTGAATTTTTTTAAAGAATTTCTTCTTATTTTGGGAAAAGAATTGGAATACACGAACCCATCTATTAATCATAAATTAGTAATTTTCACGGATATATGTTGACATCTGTAACTTCCAATCCTGTATTTTGAACTTTTTATGGATTGCCTGTTAGCCAATGAGAGTGTCCTGATTTTACAGATCATTTTGTTAAAACATAATTGAAAAGACAGAGCTCTTGATCATCAAGTCTAATTAATTAACATACAGTCTGGGCGATGCATGGACATTGACAATCTGTTGTTACATATTAAGATCAAAATATTTTCTGAAATCAGGCAGCAAGCTTTTGGCATCCTCTCACATTTTCTTCAGTTATTGATGATCTCTGACTTCTTTATCAGCAATACGTATGTTGAAGTGATACTAAATATATTGGAATATTTTGTTAATGAATGATTAGCTAAATTAAAACACAAATATAATTCTTTGGTTCTCTTTCCTGTCTAGAAATGCTTTTTGCTGAATTAGAATTTTAATTCAGAACACCAAAGCTCGTACTGTACATGAAATTACTATCATTAAGTCACAAACTGCAGAAAATGGTTCAGCTATCTCTGTGACTGCCAGTGGTTCTTCTTAAATAGCCTTTGAAATACTGGCCAAATTGGTTTATACTGAGACATTATGCTTTGTTGGTGCTTTTCTTGAATATTGAAATCTGCGTAAAATGTTTTTGTCGTTATATCTCAGTAGATCTAGATTTTAGAAAAAAATACCTTATCTTACTGCAGCGGTTGCAATAATAGAAAACATTGTGCTGACTGTATCCTTCCTTGTTTGCAAAGGGAGGGCTTACTAATTTTTTTCTCTTTTATCAGAAAATCATTATCTTAATCCTGACACTCAAGAGAATTTGATAAAATTAATATTAGATTGGGAGTTTTGATCTAAAATATGCATGTTTATTTGAGACCTGTGGTTAATGCTGATGGTTAATTATTGGAGAAGTGATTACTGTCAGAGGCCCTTATATTACAAACTACAGGTGTGCAATGCACTCCTGAAAACAGCAGAAAAAGAAGCCCTGGCATCTGCTTTCGCTATTTAGAAGTGACACTTCAGGAAGGGAATCTCAGAAACCTGAGAATCAGAATATGATTTTTATGCTTTCAGTAGAAAACAAAATCCTACCTTGAAGATAATAGTTTGAGTCTCACTCATTAAACTCATGCACAAACACAGGGCCTGTTACAGTGTTTGTCACTTGTTCAGTCATTACTTGCATCACTAATGTTCTCTGACATGTCCAAAGTTAAATTACTCGTTCATGCTTTTGATGTACCATTTGATGCTTACTAAGCCTCTTCTTGTTGTAGTATCCTTCGTCTTATTTCTTGCCTTTTTTTCCCCAAAGCATGTTCTGTGCATGCTCCCAGGCACCATGGATGCCATGGATATGATTCAGTCGCCCAGCTTTTCTGTCCATCTCCTATGAGGAATCATCTCCTGCTTTCTAACTCAGTCACTACCTGCTTCTCCTCCTTCCCACAGCTTTCCCCCTTGCCCCAATTCAACTCCTGTTCTTGCCTCTCCACAAGCAGTGTCCCATTCCCTTCTCTACAGCAGTGTTTCACTGTGCTCCTCGTCATTCCCCAGTCTTGCTGACTTCATTTCCCAGGCACACAATCTGACCAGGAGTCGTTCCTGTTAGTGGCCTTTCTCTGAATCCCTTAAATTTCTGAGAACCACAGAGGAACGAGGGACGGGCATCTCGTGTTTCCTGGTGGCTTTTGCAGTAGAGAATCCAGTCCCTCAAGACCGTATAAAACTAAAGCATAAAACTAAAGCCAGTGTGATCAAGTACAACATAGCAGTGTGTGTGTCAAAGTACACTAGTGTTAAAGTACCCTAGAATTTCTAAAATGTTATTTCCTCTTTGTCACAATATGGGGAAAGCGTACGACCTTACATTTGTTTGGATTTTTCTTTAATTGTAGTTGCCTAAGGATTCTGTTGTCAACTTGTCAAGCATCACTTAGCTAGCATGAAAGAGTATGTCCCCCTTAAGCTGAATTAATGTTCACATTACATGAAGTGCTACTTTAAAGTGTTAGCTGTAATTCTATTTCTCCGGATTTACTAATTCAAAACAAGTAGAGGTATTTCTGTAGCATTCCAGTTTATTGACTATCTACATTTAATATAACTGAATAAGAAGTGTTCCTTTGTTTCCACAGCTGTGGAATTGCCAATCTATGCAGACCTATGAGAGTGAAGGCTTTCCTCTGATAACATACAAGCTACGTTATAATACATTTAAATATAATGTCATTTAGTAGCCAAGAATTCCCATGAGTGACCAATCATTTGGTATTCCTGTAGCCGGTCTCAAGAGTTCATAGAGTTCTCTACTTCCTTTACTTTGCTTGAGTACATGCTTAAGTTGAATACATGCTGAAGTCTCTCTGTATTCCACAAAGGCTTAAAGCCAGTAACATACTGTATTAATAATGACTGTAAGTGCATTGCTAAAATAGGGAGGATTTTCTGAAATAATATGAAAAGGTTTTAATTTTTAAAAATTCAGAACTTTACTCCTGTTTCTGAAGTAAATAGCATTGATTTGTTTGCCTTACAGGGAAAAGTTCTTGAATGAAGTATGTGTTAACACCGTACCATTTATTTTATTCCTTTTCCCCATGCCGTAGGCATGACACTATTGTCTGAAATAGCACACCTTAGTCCAGAAGAGGCGTCTGCCAACCAGTTGAAATCACAAACTGTCCACAGGGTGGAGCTTACAGCTGAGAAAGCTGATTGTCACCACGAGTATTTTCGTTAAGTTAGGTACAGATATTCTGCAGAGCCCTAAAGATGCAGCATAAAACCAAAACACAACACAAAATTAGTAGTGGTGGTGATGTTATTATTTAGCTAGCATGTCTGAAGTGTTCTGGTACAAATTAGCAAAACCAAACCAGGCAATGTTGAACTCTGGCTTCAAAGAGCAATTAAACATTTACTAAATTTTTCCTTTTGTTTTTCTGATGTATTTACTATAGTCTCTAGGCTATTTACAGTATCAAAGAAAAAGAAGCACTTCAGTTTTTCTCAGCAAAGAACTTTGTTAACCTGTTCTATTCAGAAAAAAAAACAAAACAACTGAATAAGTGGCTGGATTTTGCAGCCTGATCCGAAGACTAGTTAGACATTATAAATCCAGCAAATATACCAGAGTTTGGTTTTCCACTGCTCATGAGGCACTCTAGTAAATGCAGAAAGATTGGGTTTTTTTCATAATGTAGGATGATATTTACTTAGTTTTGGCATTGAAATAACATGTTTTTGCTTGTGCATGGATAAGCCTTTGTTTTCAAGCGTAGCCTCTAATTTTATTTTTCTCATGTCAAACTAATCCTGTTAAACCGTTGCAGCTTAATCAGATAAAAAGCTACAGTTATCTTTGCTGTAGCAAGATTCTTGTTGGTATTGACACTTCTTACTCTTTTCCAAAAATATAAACAATTTCCTGATTTTCTTATCTATTTCAAGCATAATTTAGCTTATTTCTGTGACCTACGTTACTGTACAGGCATAAATTGATCCGAAAGACTCATTAGGGCAAAACAATACTCCTTCCCCATTACAGCAACTTCCCCCTGCCTCCAAAGCCCTTATGTACCTCTCTAGCTAGTATAAGCTGTAGAAAAACAGATGAGATTTGTTGTTTGCCCTAGAGGCCTCTGTAGTGATGCATTTAACTAGTCATTTGGTTGCGTAGCAAAAAGTTAGCCGCTCATGCATGTTGATCACATCCTACCTTAGCAATGCCTGGGAATTTAGCTAACAAACTTCATGCAATTTTCAAGAGCTCCCACGTGGCTGAGCCAGTTTGTCTCTGTGCATGTCACTGCAGAGCCAGGATCCATCTTTGAACCCTCATTCACTTCAACCATGAAAATTTCTTTCAAATACTTTTAGAAAGACATTTTTTTATAGTGGGAATCACTATTTCTATGAACTCTAGTTTTTGTTTCCTTGCACCCAGAAACTATGAAAGTATTTTTTGTCTCTCTCTGAGCCACACACAAGACTTCATTTTCAGATTCTACTCCAGAAAATGCCATCATAAATGATATTTTTAAGGTATCAACCATGGAAAACAGGGAACTGGAACAGAAACACACATGGCACGGGACACACTGCTGCTGTTATCATCCCTACTACACGTTCTATTTTTGTATCTCCTTTTTAGTTAGATATGCAATTGTACTATATGAAAACCTTTTTGCTGTTTTTTATAAAAATGATGTTGCAGAATAGAAGTGTGACCTGCAGTAATAATCAGAATATTTTAGGTAAAGTAGCCTTATTTAAGCTCTTGCTATTTCGTTTTGTGTATTTAGGCTTTTTTATGTCTTCCGCTGGGCTTTTACAAGTAATTGGATTACGAATTGTGCATGCACATTTAATTTCCTAGGTTTGCTTTTTCTTTTTTTTCCCTTTCTGTCTCCTTTGTGAAGGCTGGCTGATCCTCTGTTTAGATCTCTGTTTTCAGCCTCCCAGGAGAATGAAGTAAAATCATTCTGTAATAATGTTGAAGTATACATCACTAACGAAATGTCGTTTATGCAGTTCATGCTTCACAGTATAAAAAGCATGAGCCTAAGGCACAGAGACCTAGTTTTGTTTTGGTATGGCTAATTATAATACTAGTCGGCTGTAGCGGCACTGTGATGTCTGGCAGTGCAATCAGCCACCATTCTCTTACATTTTGGAAAAGGTGTTTTGGTTATATAAACGAGGATAAATTAAAAACTGAATAACCTGTGTAACTGAAAAAAAGGCTTTGCATTTTTGTCTGGAAAGACTGCAGTAGATTGTATCTAGCCGGTTAAGCAACGTATTGTGATTGTATTTTAACATGTGCAGTTCGGCTCAGTGTTGCAAAAATAACAGAAAGCCATTTTTACATTCTAGCCAGTGCTGATATATGTATTTTAATTCACCTTACTGAAATTACAGAATGACAAAACATGGAGTTACATGATATAAATTAAACTGTGGTTCAGAAAAAACTCGTCAGTCATTGCTAACAAAAGACTTGTCAAGAAAGTGATCATTTCTTGTCCCACACCTAGAAGCAGCCTAGGAAAACAGATGTGCCTTGCAGCTTCCTAGGATGGTAATCCAGGCTGGGCTCTAGCAAACAGAAATCGGAGTCCGAGTGCCACAGCGAAGACACATTGCTAGCAGCTGCCTCACTGCCATTTTAAAACCAAGATGCCACCTTCCAGCTTAAGCGTCTCAGATAGACTCAGCTGCCAGCGTCACATGAAGTAGGGGAGAATCTAATGATCAACCCTCAAAGGCTTTATACAAAAGGTCAAAAAGACCTTTTAAGTCAGAGATCAGGTTGCAACACTTGCAGATCACTGTTCATGCTAGCACTATTTTCACTGTTTCTCCCTAATTTTATTTCAAAATAAAATCTCTCCAAAAAGTCAATGAAGAAAGCAGATTTCCACATGAATCTTACCCTGTTATTCCTCTCTTTTCACAGTAATTCAAACCTTATATCTGCTCTGAACAGCAGCATAATGTTGCTGTGTGCAAAAGCAGCAAAAGTTAGTTGGGGATTTTGTCAGCAAGATCAGAAAAGAAAGACTGGGGGAGTAGATTCATGGTTTCCATAGTCTAGGGAACAATATATGAATGACAGGAACAGTCTCTAACATGCCTGACAACGACCAAAAACCCATGCAGAAATAAGCTCCCGCATACTTTTTTCTTTGTGATCTCTTAGGTCAGTTGGCTGTTTTAACCTCTCACATTATCTTGCAGACCCACGTCTTCTACTTTTTTAGGTCTTCAGAGACATAACCGCTGCTGGCTTTTGTTTGCTTTTTCATGTTACTTTTGTCACCCATAATTTTACGGGTATCCCTGGTTCTGCGTCCCTGTGTCATCATGGATTCCGCCAACTCCCGTCATCCTGTGTGTCTTCTTCATTCTGCTCTTTGAGCTTATACTTCAACATTATTCGTGACTATCAGATCCTCCCACTCGTCTGCTTGCACATAGATATGCAGTAACACCAGGATCTAGGCTCTTTAATGTAATATGATTAAATCTACATATTTAATGGCAGAGTTTTGAAGTCATTCACTAGAAATGCCTAATAAGACAGAGTTAGGTGGCTGTAAGTTCAAGCAGCATGAATGCTAGCATATTTTCCATGTCTCCTAAGCAATGACAGATGGATGCTAGATACTTCATTGTAGCTGGGCATAGCAAATTCCTGTGGCTTGAATAGCTTATGATGGCAAACGTTTTCACTTAGGAAATAATGCTGTTTTCAGGGTAGTGATTTAATTCAAAGTTCAGATAAATGGAGTATGTTGTCCAGCTTTTGATATAAAAGAAGATGTGTCCTGAGAAGTTTCAGAAGACTTACTTAGTCATTGTGAATATTTCAGATTCTTCATGAAAAAACTGTGCACAGTAAGTAGTAAATAAGCTGCACTGTCAAGAGCAATAGGTATGAGTGTATAAGTCAAAATTTTATTAGAACATTCCCATTTCAAGGTTGGTTTTTTTTTTCAATAGCATCAAAACAATAAAATTATTGCATGAATTTGTCTGCCCTGTTGTAATGACAGACTTGAAATAGTAAAAACCTGGTACTTTGGGTAATAAGCATCAGCGCACCATGGGTTACCTAGTGATAGCCTTGCCATGACTCTCAACACTAAGCTATGATTTATAATGGTTTGCCAAGCTGCCAATACACATTTAAGCCAAATTGAACCATAGTTACTTGGGGATTTGTTTTTTTTTTTTTTCCATTTTACTGCCTACAGTCTTGGTGCTTCAAATAAAAAAATTAGTTTGTACAATTATAAATACATTTTTCCATGAGGAGAGAAATGCCACTTGTTGTAAGGATGACAATTTTCCCCACCCCTCCACCCCCTGCCTTTCTGGTCCCATTTCTTTCCCATTACTCAGGGGAAAAATGAATTCTCTGTGTGTTTAGAAAAAAACTGCTTTAACTTAACTTGGAAAGAAAACTGGGTATACAATGGGATTCCACAGAGATTACAAGGGAACTGTGCCTGACAGCGCGCTTTCTGGAAGAGATCTTTCCCTGTAACTAAAAGGGAGAGATTAAAGAAGAGCATAATTAATGTTAGCATCTTCCATGCTAACACATACAATTACGATGCTCACACTGTGCGCTTGTCATTATGTAAAAGTGACCTTTACAGCTCACTCAGCATGTTGGCTAACATTTTGCATATCACTGAGCTGCCTAGGAAACCGTATTTTGCTCTTTCCGTAGTCCCACAAAAGCAGCTTGTGACAATGCGTATGTATTCCGCTTTTTTTTTTTTCTTCTTTTTCTCCTTGGCTACCAGTTTTACAGAAATCTATCTGCTATATTCATATGTATCTGTGTTTGTTTTTTTTTTTAAGTGCCTTGCTACATGGGAATCCTTCCTAGCATCTCAAACAGTGGATCTTCATGTGGAAGAAGATTCTGAAGATAGGCCTTGAGTAATCTCTCTGCTCAATCTCTGCCTTTTCCATGCAGTTTCTCCCAACCAAAGAAGTGCTTTATATGAGATCAGATACATTATTAAATTCAACTGTTAAAAATCAGTGAAATGCAGGAAACCAGCTTATTGAAAACTCAGGTATTCTAGTCCTGAAATACATTTTGGAACATGCTATATATTGCTTTATATTGCTTAGCTGTGATTTTACATATTTTTATGCAAGTCTTTGCATACAATTGTATTCATAAATATTGCATAATTTGGATATAAAATATTTTAAATATGTAAAAATAGCTCCATTTTAATAAAAAGTTTAATAGGGAAAGCTTGTCTTTGTTCTGTACCCTAGTCTTTAAGGAGTATTTTTGTATTTTAGCGTGCTTGTTATATTCTCTTTGTTGACTGATTTCCTGTACTTGTAAAATTACCTAGCGTAATCTTCAAGGAGCTCTTTAGGATTATTTTAATAGATTGTGCTAGTCACCTGATGGCAACGTGGTACGGAAAGATGCTGCACATATTCTGTGAGATTAATGCTGCTTTAAAGTACTGTTAATTCAGTTCTCAGTTTTCAGTATTTAGATGTCTATTAAACATCTTCAATTTGACATTTTTTAAAGGATAAAGAAAAAACGGACAGTTCATGGAAGAGACTGTTTCTGCAATGATACAATGTTAGTCGCAGCACTGATCCTACCAGTACAAAAGCTTCCATTTGGAGTTCGCAGGATCAAACCTTTTACTCCCATGGCTGACCCTCCTGTAATCCTTAACTTCCTCTCTCTTCGGATAGCCAGTGTGGAAGAGAAAGGGATAAGAAAGGAACAGACAGTTTTGCATTAAAATGATTAGCTGATTCACTCATGCAATATGCATTAAAGTGTTCCAGTCATTGAATTATTGTCCCCAAAAGGTCTGTCAGCCTGCACTTGTAATTCCGGCAGTTGTTCTCCCTGGCAGTTAAGGTCTGAGCAAGCCTAAGTCTGAATATGGAAAGAATGAGGTGCAGGAATTGGAGACAGCCTAACCGTGGCTCTGGCCTTGCAGAACAGCAGAGCTTCAGCCATCACCTTCACCTTTTGTGGTGGTCATTTGTGGGCTTGCTCTTGTCAGTCACCTAAGGGCTGCGGGGGGTCAGTTCCTGAGCCCACGGCTGCACTTGGGTGGCTGTGGACCTGTCCAAGCTGGACGAGTCATTTTGTCGCTTTGATCTTAAGAAATGTAGATTGCAAGTGAGACCTGGAATACCAGCACAGCCGCCTTGGCAATGCAAGGAAGACTGCGCTCATGCTGCCCCCATGAAGTATTAATGAAAGGTCAGCTCTTTTTTTTTTTAGCTATAAAATAGCAGTTAAGATGCTTCTGAAATGCTGCAGGAAGCATGCATCTCTCCCATCTTGGAGAATTTACAGACGAGAGGCGAGTCTGTGTTAGGAGGAAGGTGGTGCGGTGGTGGAGGGCTGTGCTGCGCAGTGTCTTGTCCAGCAGCGCTGGCAGCGGATGCTTGCAGGAAGCATGGAAGAACAACGTGGCTGGACTGTGCTCTTTTCCCATTGTATCCTTCCCACTGATTTTTTTTTTTAACATCAGAGCTTCTATCAATGCGCTTAATAGCCCTTAATGCCTTTCCCTGTGCTTTATTTTCCTTTTTCCCACCTACATTTTTAGTATTTACCATGCTGAATAGCAATGGATTCCACAGCTTAATTCGCAGGAAAAATCAATTCATTTTGTGATTTCCTAAACCAGCTACCCAATAATTTCAGGTAATGCCCTCTGCCTCTTAAATTGTGAGAAGAGATGAACAATTGTTTCCTATTTGTCTTCCCTGTGCCACTCAAGAACTTACAAACCCTCTAGCGTGTTTTCCAAGTGCTGCTGCTTTTCCCAGAGGAAAAGCCGTAGCTTAGTATCATCTTGTACAAAAGGCATTTCACATCTGTGCTCATTGTTACTGCTTTTCTCTATATTTTCTAGTTCTGCTGCAACCAGTGTTTAAAATGCAGGCACATGAGAAATGTACATGTTGTCATAATTATGCTTTGATTTTTTTCATAATTCTTTCCTACTAATTCCTAATTTATTTTTTAAAGTACCGCTGAATGCTGAGCTGCCATTCCCTGGAACTGTCCACTAACATTAAGAGCTATTCTGAAGGTTACTAAATAATTTAATTTCCATCAGTGTGTATATATAGGAGAATTGGTTTTTCCCCAGTCAGCATTAATTTGCATTTATTAATACTCAATTTGGCCTGCTGTTTTTAGCTCCTAATCTCTCAGTAGTGTACAGTCGTATAAACACGATTCCAACAAGACAGGCAGCAGTAACACTCTGAATACCAGATAAGTGAAAGTTCAAGAAATTGACCTTAAACAGGCTTACCTGGAAGGATATGAATGTTTAAGCGTAACAAAAAATTAAATACTGTGCCTCTAATTTAGGCTCCTCTAAGAAAATGTAATGTCTGGTTAGCTGAGATGGGGAATGCCAATGTGCGTTGCATTGATTTTGCCTGTATGTTCTGCCGGAGCAGAAAGCTGCTCTCTGAGGCATTTAGAAATCAGAAGCACCATCGGAGATTTTGCATCCTTGGTAAAAACGTGGGCTGTGGTTCATTATGTTCATGATTTATTTTTCATTTCTTTTCCTCTTCAGCTAGGCCATAAATTATGGAGGGAAAGACTTTAGTAATCAGTTATATAGAGGCTTTCTTGTGACTATGTTGTTATTTTTCTGATTTTCTAGTAGCACTGTCATGCAAAGCCAAGGTCTATTGTTAAGTACAATCAAACATTGTCCTTTTTGTGTCGTACAAATACTTCTGAAACTTATAATTTTAGAAGGTCTGTTGTGTATTTGGACCTATTTCCAAAGATTTTTTCTTTCATGGAGTCTCACCTTCCTTAGGCTAATGCTTAAAAAGTGCTTAAACTATTTGATTACTCAAAATCAATCTGCCTATTCTTACTGGATTTTCTTTCTGCTGTTTTCAGATAGCTTTGTACAGCTTGTTAGAGCCCAACCACTTTAAATCATTCCTGAAGTGCCAAAAGTCTGACTAGGAATTAAACTTTCAGCTGCTTACAGCTAAGAGCCTCTGTCTGGAGGCCTTGACTTCCTTCTGCAGCTTTGCAGACTGAAATTAGTTAAACAGTTAAAAGGCAAACCTGATCTTCAAGAAAAGAAACCAGTGTAAAAATGGTGCGATGTTTTTGTGTGTCCGTCTGCAGAGAGCATGAAACAACAGCTCTGAGTGGCAGAAAGTTTCCCATCCAGTCCTGTGTGGGTTTTGTTCTAAAATTCAGGTGAGATCAACTTTAAAAACATCAGTGTTTTATTGTAAAGTAGAAAATTCAAACTGCACCTGCAGTTTCCTAGCTAGATAATCACCACCTGTAGAATGCAGAACCAGCACAGCTTATCGGCTTCCTCAGGCAGCCAGAGACAACGTGACCGAGTGTGTCTTCTTGGCCCAACAACTCCATTTGTCGCAGTGACGCCCTTTCTGCCCAGCGTCAGAGGTGGGACCATTGCCAGGCAGTCGCAAGTTACTGGCCAAACACTTTCAAGTGCCCATTACCGCATTCTGAATTTATGTACAGATACTTCGAAAGCACAAGTCAAATAAATATTTAAAAGAAAGAGAAGAGGCCTCCTTTCGCTCAGAGTTCAGCGTGCAAACCCCAGCTCCTGGCTAACCGCAACCAGCTAACTCAAGAGAGAAGCGTGATCGCGCAGTTTGCAGGGCTGCAAGGTTTAGTCATCGTGGCCTGTGTCTTGACCGTGAAGAGGAAACAATTCCAGGACAGAAGAAAAGATCAGTTGTGGAGAACATGCTGCCTCTTTATATGTTAGTAGTTCATACCTAGGGCCTGTAAACAATGCATTTCTCTCTCTTGTTAGACTGAAAATACATGGAGAGGCAAGAACAAACAGCTGTCACCAGTGCAAATTGCCAGTAATAAAGGTAAAACAGAGATGGCTTGTATCGGTAAGACATCAATGGCTCTAAGATTTTAAATGGTTGCCTGGTGCAGACTCCATCGCTTGACAAGCTGCAAGTGCTCTGTGGCAAGATGCATGTCCAGAGAAAAAGGAAATAAATACGGGCATAAAAAAAGAGCTGCTGGCCCCTGCTGCTGTCAGCCTGCACCCAAAGTAGTGACTTTTCAAAGATTTTGGCTACACATATTCAAATTCTTTCATTTGCCTGATAGCTATGGGCAGGCTTTCACTGATAGCATCACTAAAATAAGGACAATGCTGGCATAAATTAATCATGAAACCAACCTTCCAGCAGGAGCTCTGCAGGCCAGGAGGAATATGAAGGGTTTTTTTTTTCATATGCCCAACTCACACTTTAATATTACTATCAGCACTGCCCACTATATTGCACAAACAGTCCCTTGCAGCTCAGTGAAGAACAGATGAGGGCAGCGGTGTATGTAATAGTCTCCTCTGATACGTTTTAAGTTTACTCAAAGAAAATGGCTAAATAAACCTTTTCTGACAAACGGAGGAGCTCCTACCTGCTAGCTGGCGGGGTTGACTTTGGTGACTACAGGATCAAATTGTACAGCCTTAGCAGAAAGCACGGACAGCAAAATGTTCCTGAAGCACCGCACAGCTTTGAAGCTTTTACGGTGTGAACCAGTTATGAACTGTTGATTGGCTTTCTGTTGCCTTGACTCTAGCCATGCCATCATCGTGGAGAGAGAAAAGCCTTATCTGTGCAATCCCACAGAGGCAGCTTATTGAATACAGAGTGACTAAAAGAAATATTGGCCAACAAACTGAACCTTAAACTCCTTCAAGAAACCTACTGTGTTGCTTTTCCGAACAGCACCAATGTTTGGGTGCAGCCCCACTGTCAGCAGTGGCTCAGCCTTGCTGGGAGGAACAGAGAGGCGACACCTCATCCCAACCTGAAAGGGACGGCCACAAACTTTCAGTGCATTTGGGAGGTTTGTGGGACCTGAAAAGTGAAGGTACATCCTGGTTTACGTAAGAAAAACGATTAAAGAAATGCACACCTGTAAAAGGATGTCCTTGTTTGAAATGTAATTGGAAAAATAATGAAAAAACATCATATTAGTTTTCCTGCAGGCAAAAAGCCATACTTTGTGGTTTAATATTTTTGATCTAGACTGTGACAGGACACTGAGTTTTCCGCAGGAATAATTCCTTTGGTAACAGTATCGCTCAGAAGATTAGTTAAGGAATAAGCATTATTATGTCTGCATTAGTAATTAACCAAGAGTTGCCAGTAAGCCATTAACTGTCAAAGCCAAACTAAAACTTCCTTGGAATCAAGGC